GTTGTCTTCATGTTCTCTAGGCACATTCAAAGTCTTTGATTTCTGCTTTTCTGTCACATTTTTTGATTCCGTTTTAGTAAGAAGTAAGCTGTTCTCAGAATGTTTACTACGCATGTTAACGAGAATCTGTTTCATTGCTGCCAATTCCTGTTGATATAAGAAAACAGAAGAAAATGGAAAGTATGATTTTAGCAAGCAGACTAATAATCACTGACGTTAAAATATTTATTTTTCTTTAAGTAAACATTTGAGGCAATTACACTACATAATGAGGAAGGTTGTGAAAATAAAATATTAATGTGCATTAATCATGCAAATCAATCTTATAATCATTAACAGTCATTTAATACGATAACTGATAATTATAACATTCTATAGTTTAGCGGTTTCCCAATTTTTTTAAGTACTGGAATCACCTGTGGAGCTTCAAAAACTATCGATGATTCTTGTGTCCCAACCTCTGAGATTGTGAGATACCTGGTGTGGTGTGTGGCCTGGGTTTTGGAATTATTTTAAAGAATCCAGGTCTTCCTTGTTAATATAGTGGTGAGGAAAAAAAAAAAATCCCAGGTAATTCTAATGGACAAATTTGGGAACCACTGGCATAGATACTTTCCACTTGTAGTTGTTCTATACATGTAAGTTGAGTAGATTATTTAGGCACTTAACTTTTTCTCTTCTCTCTTTTAAACTATCCTATTTCCTTATGAAGTCTTATAAGAAGATGGTAGAGAAAAAGAATCCAAATAATTTTTTCTTGGCTACTAATCAGCAGTTCCAAGAGTAAGTTTAATATAGCTTCAGGATTTCTTTAGCCATATTATCCCCTTATCCTTTTACAAATGCTAAGTGGAGTTGGCTTCAGTTGCCTTTTGAACTAAGAACTAATTATGCTGAACTTTTTAAGGAATTCATATCAAAATTTTCACCCATCCTTTTTCCAAGTCTATTTGTCTATTATTTATCCTTATAGACAAACCTTTAGCACATAACACTAATTAGTGGATATTTGTCATTAATTACTAAACTGATTGATCAAACACAAGTATAAGCAGAGATGACAGACTAAACTCTCCTTTTTATCTTATTTATCTGTAGAATAGTGGTAGGCTGTGTAATGGGTAATTTTTGCCTATTATTTTATTGTACCTTCATGCCAAGACACAAAAGTTATGGTGATAGAAGTATGTTTGCTCTCTTCTCCTAATCTGTTTATAGACATCAGCTCTCTGTCAGAGCAAGTTCCTACAGGCCTTTCTTTTCTGGCTGTCATTAGTTCTATTTAGAACCATCTAGCTTATGTGGGTATTTTAAAACAGAGATGTTGAGTTTAAGCCACATAGCTTGATAGATTTTAGGGCCAGGAGAGGAGCTGGAAGTGGTGCCAGAATCCTTCTCTTTCCTGTAGTACCGGTGCTGGCTTGGCCAATACACACGAGAATGTATACATCTTCAGATGATGCCAATCTGATGTACTATTATTTGGGCCTTTTGGGAGCTCTTTTTGCTTTCAAGATTATGTTATTTCATTTATATGCTCTCCTACAGTGAAGTCTATAACCACTGATTTAATGTTAAACATGTCTGGTGTTACAGCTCCTGTTCTACTTACCTTGGTGAGTAGAAGGGAAAGGGGAGATGAGATGATGGTCTCCCAGTCTATCAAAAGAACAACTTTTTATCTGAAAAAACATCTTTTTACTAGTCATGACTTTTGTGTCTTGGCATGAAGATAAAATGACAGAAAACAATAATTACTTCCACTCATCTACAGATAAAAAGGTAAAGGAGAGTTTAGTGTATCACACTTGCTGGGGGAGATGGGGAGGAGGGACAGGGATAAGGAGAAAAGTTAAGAGCTGAGAGGGTGGTAGGCAGAGGGCTTTGTCCCCAAAGTCCCCCAGAGGAGGCCACAATTTTGTTTCTCCTTGGCTTCCTTCTGTTGTTGGTATAGGAGCAGTTGCAGGAAACAGATCATCCCTGATGTTGGTTAGGAAATTAGAAGGGAAATTGACATCTTTGCCTTTTCCAGAGTAAGATCACCCCCATGTGGGGTGTTGTCACAGTATTACTTTTGTTCATTTGACAGGATAAATAATATTAGTATAGTTTCTGAAATCCACGTTAAACAACACTTTAAATGCAACAAAATTCTGTAAAATTCCTTTTAAGATGATACAGCTAGAGTGGATACCAAAATAACATTCAGAACACTTTTTTTCCCCAGTTTTATTATGTTTGGCTTATGGTGATCCTTCTTATATCAATGGTAAATTTGAACAAAGAAAATTCCACTTTAATATCAACAAGCTGTAGTTCCAGCTACTTGGGAGGCTGAGGCAGGAGGATTGCTTGAGCCCAGGAGTATGAGGTTGCAGGAGCTATGATGATGCCACTGCACTCTAGCCTGGGCGACAGAGCAAGACCCTGTCTAAAAGGAAAAAAAAAATCAAATAGTATCCATAACACCATCATATACTGAGTGTACAGAGAGTCAAACACAGGTAGTGGAAATATTTTCACATTAGGCTACAAGTCAAAGTGACGTCTATTCTTGACGCTATTACTAATTGTGTAAACTTACGCAGCCAAGTCTGGTTCAATGAGCTTCAGTTTCCTAATTGATAAAATGTATGCTTGTATTACCTTTTTGGATTTTTGCCAGTCTGATAAGTATTTGGGTATGTTTATTCTGCATTTTCTTCTATTGTGAGGTTGAGCAGTT